TCCGCCACAAACGAGTGCGTAATTTATTCGTAATAATTATTTGGGTCTCTCTCCGTATTAGGTGTATTCAGGCGAATTTAATAAAGAGACACTTGTCAAGCGCTCTTGAATTTAACTGACTATAATGTTTCGTTTATTCATTTTGATAAATGAAAAATATGTTAATGACAGCTTTCCTTCAAATAACTTTATTCAGGTATAAATTCCATGTTTAGTAAAAATGTCTTGAAGCATTAAACAGATAATTTGTTTTAATTCTAAGCAACGCCGAGTTAAAGCGACACTCGATGCTTTTTTCAAAAATTCAGATGCCAGAGTTGAAGACATTTTGACTATACGTACAGATGGCTTTGATTATGTTCTATCCTGGTTATTGACAGCTTCATATGACATAACATTTTCCGTTTTAGAATCGGAAAATATCACAACCACAGCAGTTTTAACGCTCAGTTCTCATGGCTGAAAACGTTTGCGACATTCTCAACGAGTCTCTCTCTGGAACCTCTGCGAATGTTAGAGGTTTTCGTCTGGCACTTATCGCTTTTTGTGTCTTCAACGGCTTTTTGTCTTATACAACCATCATTTTGAACATTGTTACCATCCATGCGATAAGGAAAACCGCGTTGTTGCCGAAACCTTTGAGAAAATTATTACTGAGCCTGGCTGCCTCCGATGTTGGCGTTGGTTTGTTGGTCCAACCGCTCTACATTTCTACTTTGGTCAGCCTGTCAAAACAAAAACGTATCGACTGCATTTACTACAAGGGATTGTCCGCCGTTATTAGTTTCTTTTGCAGATCCTCCTTCTTTAATGTTGTAATCATAAGTGTGGACAGGTTCTTAGCTGTTCATCTTCATCTCAGATATCAAGAGCTTGTGACTCACAGGCGCGTCATCGCAGCGGTGATATCAATATGGCTGTTAAGCGCAATTATTTCTTATATTGTCTTTTGGAATCCATTGCTTTTCAGCTCACAAGTCATTGGGCTCGTGATTACGACTCTCTGCCTAATTCTGGTGGTAATTGTCTATTGGAGAATTTATATAGTCTTAAAGCGACACAAAAATCAGATTGAAGGCCTTCAAATCCAAGAAGTACAACAGGGAGTTCAACATGGCGACTTATCAAACTTTTTGAAGCTTAGAAAGTCAGCTCTTGGAACATTTTATGTATCTATTGTGTTCTTGATTTGTTATCTGCCTTTCTATATTCTCTCTTTTTTACTCTGGGCTCGTCCTTTAGGTCCAATCTCTTTATACAAAGCTCGGCCCTATATAACAACTTTGGTTTTCCTCAACTCGTCTTTGAACCCTGTTATATACTGCTGGAAGATG